CTCTAATTTTATGAGTTGATTTTAAATTCAACATACAAGTGAAATCATACAACAGTCAGCCCTCTGTATCTATTAGCTCTGCATCTATGAATTCAATAAACCGTATATTACAACAATTGATCTGTGTTGAACACACACAAATGTTTTCTTATTGTCTTTTCCTGTATAATATACTATAATAACCTTTTATTTACATGTACAGTGTATAGTGTATAAGTAATCCAGCACTGTTTGAACTGTATGGGGGATGTGCATAAGTTAAATGAAAATATTGAATCATTTTATGTCAGACACTTGAGCATTTAGTAAATTTAGGTACTTACAGAGTGCCCCACACTACAAGTATCCTATGGGTATTGAGTGATAACCATTTTTATTTTCCTATGCATGGCATATATCTCTTAGCATAATGTGCCAAGATTCATCCATGAAGACATACCCAGTATTTTTCAAAGGAATTGAAATCATTATTTTGAAGTGATGTCTGCATGTGTATATTCATTGCAGCATTATTTACATAGTCAAGACATGGAAGCAAGCTGAGTGTTTATAAGCAAGGGAGTATATATAGGAAATATATACACCAAAGAATACCAGTAAAGCTTACACAAAGAAAGATATTTGCCATATGCACTATAATTTTGTTCTGATTACAACTCTTAAGAATATTAATCCAGGCTTTCTCCTGAATTTAAAAAGAAGAAATCAGTCCAGTAAACAAATAAATATGAGCAAAAATCCAAAAGCATGTGCTTCATCTTTTTCCCAAGTAGAAAAATTCTCTTTTCAGAACTGAACTTTCTCCCTCATCAAATAAGAAAATTTAGATTATAATGATGAGGGTTTATTAAAGTAACTGAGTGTTGAGGTCTTCCTAGGTGTTTCCTTTCTAGAAAAGAATACGGGTGACATGCTTTCAGATGAGCGCTCATGTAAAGTATGTCTACTTGAGCATCTTATTGAACTTGTGCTGGAAGTGGACACATAGGAAAAAGCTTCAGATCAGCACTTGACTATAAATCTAAGAACAAGCATGTGAAAGCTCAGTGGAAATTTGAATGCTTGGAAAGAGAGGAACAGGGTGCTGTCTCTGAGAAAGATGGAGTCTCAACAGGGTCAGCTTAATGATGGGTCAGACAGTGGAGCCAGGGCAGGGTTCCAGGAACACAAGGACAAGGCACCTCATGTAAAGTATGTCTACTTGAGCATCTTATTGGGTACTTCATGGTTCACTGTAGTGACAATGAAAATTTTATAATGTTACTTTTCAGTGTACTAAAACAAGCACATTGGGGACAAGCCAGAAGTTTTTCAGTACTATTATTATAACCATAGTCATTTAGATTCTGGACCAGAAGAATTTGGCCAGAGTCCCTTCAAAATCTCACAAGAGAGGAATGTTCTCTTGGCCCTGATAGATTAATACAAAGGAGACCCAATTATGAATGTAACTTGTGTACCCAGCAGTAGCCCTATGACATTTTGGTTACTTTATTTTTGGTACTATGTAGCTCAGAATTTTAGTGATCCTCCTGTTTTTTTCAGCCTCCCCAGCACTGGCATTATAGGTGTGTGCCACCATGCCCAGTTTTGGTCTAAAAGTTTAGATACTACTGGATCCAGAAAAAAAAATACATTTTTCCCTTTAAACTCCAGAACTGGATTATTTATTGGAGCCCTAGAGGTCTCTTGAAACTAGCTATTTGTCTCCATTGATAACTGTGAAAGAATATGTCTATATTTTGAAGATTCTGTCATCTCCAACATCTACTGCAATTTTTCAAAAGTGGATCCAAACACAGTAAACATCCATTCTTTCCTCAAATTAGAGTGCAACTTGAGGTGTGCTCTGAGATATAAGGGGATGAGTATGAGTTAGTTTTTATTTCACTCTAAGTTGGGCAAAAAGTAACCTGCATAGCCTTTGAGAGCTCAGAAAAGAAAGTCACTGGACCAGAGCCAAAGTCTGGGCCTGTAATCTGGTGCATAAAGACCATTAAGACTAGGGGAAAACTCAAAGCATGAGACAGATGGACTGGAAGCCTCCCCCAAGCAGTTAAGTCGGAAGGGGTGAAATATTCCACTTGACACAGATGTTCAACTAAAGACCGTGGTCTCTAGGTCTGTACCACCTAAACCTGTAGCAAACATTCTAGTCACAGACATGTGATTTTATTGGTGGGATCCTCTCTTTCAATATCTTTGATGTTGACCTCACCAGGTTGACACTTGACTCTTACCAAAGTCAGAGGTATCCACTGAACTAGTTATTCTCAGTCAGCTTGAAGCTGGCTCAATTCTGACAGAAATACTGAATAGCAACAAGGATATCCATTTATTAAGTCTGAGTCAAGTTTATTTTTGAAATAAAGTAAAAATTGAGCAAATATATGGAAATCTGGGTCATAGATGGGTCAAAAAATAAATGTCAGCTGAAGTTGAAAACAATCCCTAGAAGCCCTCCAATAAAAATATTACCTTCAGCCTTGTGAGTTTACTTTTCAATGCAGAAATATGACCCTAGCTGGCGTTGTTTAGCCAACCTTAATAGAAGACAAAAGTGGAGAAAAGTGAGGTGCTTCTTCGCTTTGGTTCTATGCAATGTGGGGTGACTGTGCATTATGGACAGCACTATAGTGAAGGTAAAATAGGTGCTGGAAATATCCTCTGAAACTGATCAATATTGATATTATCTTATGTGAAAGTAATGTAATTAGATTCTCTGAAATAAGAATGCTTTTCTTCACTAATTTTGTCACTGTAAGTTTTCAAAAGAGAGTTTCAAGTGCTAAGTAGAGTTGCACGTCAGTCTCTTAGTAACCCAGTTGCAGTGCAGATCTGATACAGATTAGACGTAGGCAGGTGTTTGTTAAGAGACCTCTTTTCTAAATAAGGTACTCACCAAAGTACTGCTGCCTTAATTCCTATGTGTTCCGACATAAATTTATCATACAAAGCTAAAATTGGTTAGAGTGTCCTTCAACTGCCATCAAATCCAGTACCCCATTAGGCTTTGAGGACAGAAAGCCCAATCTCTATGTGTTCAGTTCTCGTTCCAGTTCTCCAATGAGGACTGATTTGACACAACACAACTAGGGACCTGACCATGTTATGTAGTATCTATTAACTTCCTTTTTACAGTCTCTATCCAACTTGAAGTCTTTTCATTATCATTTTTAAACACATTCAAGGAGGGAAGGGGGCTCACAGTATCTCTCTCTTCAATGTAATGTTTTAAAATTTTTCTTCTTTTCTTTTTCTGTGGTGCCTGGGATCAAATTCAGGACCTTACATTTGCCACGCAGGTGCTTAAGCTGCTGAGCTATCTCCCTTGCCCAAGTGCAATATTTTAAGGAATTTCATTTAGTGAAGAGTAGTTTGTCCATAAACTATGATTACTCCTATATTAATTGTTTGATCTAATACACTGAGCAATATTCAACATGCTTGATGGTTTAATCTCCAGGCAGCAGTGTTATACACCTAAAAAATTTCAAAGCAAGAAATGAAAGGATAATAGTAACTAGAGAATAGTACAAGGTGCTTTAATATTAGCCAAATCACAATCTTTTGGAGGATGAAGTTTTATAAGTTAGAATACACTTTAGACAGTACCAGTGGACAGAGATGAACTTGGATTTTACTTCCTACCCTCATAGATTTGTCCAA